TTTTAATCAACATTTAGAAGAACAAAAAAAAATACGTAAACAAACAATTGAAGATATCAAAGAACAAATCAAACCAATAAATAAAATTGTTATAGATGCATTTGTTAATTCAGGAACTGCACCGCATATAATCAAAGAACTTTACAACACGATTCGTGATAGTCAAAAGAAATCGTTCAAGAGGTGTTTTACTTCTTGCAACATCTATATTTATGGTAACTCGAGAACTGGAAAGGATTACTTGACACAAATACTTTTTCCTGACGCATATCACAAATCGCAAAATGACAGAATATGGTTTCAAGGATATGACGAAAATAAAGTTTTTGTATTTGATGATTTTTATAATCATAACATGGAGTTTTTAACTTTATTGACATTAATTGATAACAAACCACACACCGTACAGAAAAAAGGAGGGCATCTAAATTTTTGTTCGTTTGTAAATATATTCACGTCAAATACATCTTTGCGAAATCAATATGTCTATTTCGAAGATATACCATATTTTGGGAATGAGACTGTTAAAATAGAAAACAAAAGAAAATATTTTTCAATTTATAATCGATTTGACTATATCATTGAGTACAAAAAGTTTAGAAATGATGATGCACGTCCTTGTACTTTTGAGTATCTTTGTTGTTCAGTACAGAGAATTTTTCAAAAAGGCTCATATGAAGATTTTGTCAATCTTCGATTTGATATTGAATTCAATTCAGATGTTACTCTCGAACAAATTGCTTATATAATCAGGGATCATAATTCATTAGAAGATGGTAAAGGAATTCGATATTACAACCATAATTTTAACTCACAAGTTGAAAAATTTAAATTAATAGACTATAGAATTGAAAATAATTTACATGTTGATACGATCGTATATCCTGAAGTAAGAAGAAAATTAGAAAATAGATTACATAAAACTAAAAGAAAAAAAATACAATTCAGGGGTTATGTCGAGAATAAACTTGATTATGTAATTAAAAATTTAAATAATGATGAAAAATACGATTCAGATGCATCAATATCTTCATTGTCTTCTAACGATTCTGAAACAACAAGACGTAGAAAAAAAGG